TTAAAATATGTTTTTTTTCGCTACACAGTAATAACCATGTTTCAAAAATGGAAGCTAAAAGCTTCGAATTTAATTTTGTAATTAAATTAAAAACATTAGTTCCATTTCATCCTCAAGCGAATTTTGGAGTAACTTATTTTTAAAGTTACTGAGTATTAAAGGCACGGCAAAAATTCATAATTCAGTTTCCAAGGATGCAGAGAAATCCATTCATCCAGACAAGGGGTGGTAACATGTTCATTTTCATTTTCTTTCGTTGTATCAGTTATTAGCTACATTCGAAAAAGGGGTTATGTTTAGATAGTTGTAGGGATGTATATTTCAACGAATTCTGACATCCGTTAAATGCATGTCGTCTGTTTTTTTTTTTAAATTTTATTGTTAACAGCAAAAAATTCTTACGGCATTTTTTCTATTTGTTTACTTAAAGATTTTTTTTGGATGTTTAGGTTAGAATGCGTTTTATTTAACTACAATTTTAAAATATTTTCACTTTTAATTTTAAATAGACTATATTTCTTTTTAAAACAAGTAAATGTATTAGAATTACTTACAGTATGTAAAATTATTTTTTTTCATATCACGTATAAGTATGTATATTACCAAGTCACATTTTTTTTTAAAATTTGATATTTAAATATTATATAAATAAAATTTATGACAATGACGACTAAAAATAGCTAATTCATTTCTCTGATTTAGTAAACTTTTATTTTTTATAAACTTAATATATAGTTTCTCATGTATGTACAAAGAACATGGGTCATTTGATGGCCTACATATTCTAGCTTTTCTTATTAATTTCATTTTACTGTAGGTGTTTTATTGGATTCTTTTAGATGCCAGAAGTACTTTGAGAGAGATGTTTGATATATATATATATATATATATATATATATATATATATATATACTAGGTTTGAAAAACCCTCGAATTTTTTGATTTGCCAATAATCAAATCAATCTCGAGGGAAAAAGGTTTTAAAAACAGAAAGAGCTAGAAACATGAAAGTCTGTCGAAAAAAATCGCACAGATACAGGTTTGAAGCCCAAAGAAAAAACCCTGACACGAGTAAACAACTAACAAAAGAGCTCAATACAACTCAGCAGACCTAGATAAAAAGGCCAGACAAACCTACCCAGGTTTCACCCTAAAAGCGGATCGTCAGGAAAGCTGGCTAAAGAAACAAGAGAACAGCATATTTATAGGAATAATCAAAATCATACTACGTGACCAAAGAAAAAGAAAAACACACCCCATCCTTAAATGGGAAATATTAAAAAAATGCCCCAAATACAAAGCAGGCCAAAAATTTTGCAAGCTATGTACTGAGGAGAAATTAGCCATAGCTTTATATAATCAACCTAACGATCTATTAAACTCTAAATCCGAGATTCTTAACATATGTAGGCATAGAAAATCTTGTTTATTGAATTAGGCCTAATCTCCCCGTTTGTATTGTCCTTCCACCTTTATTGTTTGTGTTAATATCCCCTCCCCTTTTAGTCGTTTGAATAAATCTTTAGAGGTGTTCTTGTGTTTTTTCTTGTTTTTTCTTGTTTTTCTTTTTCTTTGGTCACGTGGTATGATTTTGATTATCGCCTATAAATATGCTATTTCTCTTTCGCTTCTTTAGCCAGCTTTCCCTGACGATCCGCTTAGGTGATACCAGGGTAGGTTTGTCTGGCTCACTAGGTTTATCTATATATATATATATAATAGCATTTTTAAATCAAAATTGTGGTTGAATTTGTTTCTATGGTGTGACTAGTGCATTAGCTAAGTAGGTTTTTTTTGCGTTTTTTTTTGTGAGGTCTCTTTTGTGCTCATAAATGCGTTTTTTTTTTTATTTCTACTTGTTTCTCCAATATATTAGGAGGAACAGTTTTGGCAATTTATTTTATAAATGCCTGCTTCAGAAATATTATTGCTATTACTGTTTAAAGATCTGAATATATCCATAATGGTTTTGGAAGTGTTTGTAACTATTCTAAGATTATTTACATGGGATAGGTTATTCTGGATAGTGGACGTGACAGAGTTGGTCGGTAGTATTATGTATCTGTTTTTATGCAATTTACTATTGCGGATTATGTTATTAGTTTTGTTTCGGTTGTATATTTTGTATGCCTTTCTTCTTGCATGTTTCTTCTTTAAATATTTCACCTTTCTTAACAGAAGTACTACTCTCCCAAAACTGACCAAGGGAATTCAGAGAAGCATACATCCATCCAGCTCTTATCTCAAATAACAACTTAAAAGAGACTGTTTGACCAACACAAGGAATGTTAAAAGATTCATGTTAAAAAGATAAAAAAATAAAAAAACAAATGAAAACTCAGACAAAAGTTCATTTTCTCCATCAAGACATTCATTTCTGTAGTTCACTGCTACCAGCAACCAGAAATATTTCTTCTCCTGATGATGGCCAAGTTATTGAAACTAGTCGAGGAATCTAAATGAAATAATAATTAAAAAAAACGAAAGAATATTGATCTAC